AGATCATACTGAAAAACGACAACGAAAAATCCCAGGCAGCAGAAATTTTCAGGCTGCTTCCCTCCTCTCACCTCGTGTTAGGCTTAGCAGATGTCTTTTTTGCAATTTTGGTAAACATTTACAGTTCTATAAGGTAGGTGAACACATTAGTGAGTTCTCTGGACTTGCAGCCGTAAATTATTTGTGAGTGCTGTAAATATCTTTGTGTACCAAGGAATGCTGCCAAGGGAACGCTGGGCAGCTCCTTAGAAACACCTTGGATGAAAACAGAAACCAGGCTGCTGGAAGGGCTGCTTTGCTTTGGTGTCTTTTCTGGTTTATTTCCTTTTTCCTTCACATCCCACCTTCTCCTCTTTTTTTCTTGCTTTCTTTTACTTTTTTCCACTTTTTTCCTTTTTCCTGCTTTGTTTTTCTTTTCCTGTTTTTCCCTTTTTCCAACTTTTTTCTTTTCCTGCTTTTTTCCTTTACCCTCTTTTTCCTTTTCCCTCTCTCTTTCCTTTTCCCCTGTTTTCTTTTTCCCTTTTTCCTTTTCCCCTCCATATTTCCCTTTCCCCTCTTTTTTCCCTTTTCCCCTCTTTTTTTCCCTTTTCTCCTCCATATCTCCCTTTTACCCTTTTTTTCCCTTCCCCTCTTTTTTTCTCTTTTCCCCTCTTTTTTCCCCTTTCCTCATCCATATTTCCCTTTTCCCCTCTTTTTTCCCTTTTCCCCTCCAGATTTCCCTTTTCCTCTCCATATTTCCGTATTTTCCCCTCCATATTTCCCTTTTCCCTTCCATATTTCCATATTTCCCCCTCTTTTTTCCCTTTTTCCCCCTTTTCCCCTTTTCCCTCCTTTTTTTTTCCCCTTTATGCCTCTTCCAGAGAACAGAAAACTTCGGAGAAATCAATCAGGAAACATAGGCAGGCAGTTTTATGAAAGTAAGATTCATACCTTCAATTTGTTCATCATTTTGCTGTTCTAGGTTTCATTCATAAACTACCTCTTGAGCAAGAATCTTAATTTAAATGTAAAAGTCATAAAAGTTATAAAAATTATGGTGTTATGTAGGTATAAAAGTTACCTTTTTCAGTCTTTGTCTGTGTAAAAACTACCACCCAGAAACATCTGAAGTGACAGAAAACACCTTTTTTTTTTTTTTCAAGGAGCCATAAAAATGACTAACCAGCAGCACAGTTAATATTATGGGTTGCAGTTGGGTATTGTGACATTAAGCAGAGAACATGGCAATAAGTTTTGAGGATGTCCAACATCTCCATGGAGAGTACACTTAATACCCTTGTATACTTTTTTATATAGTTTATTGCTTCACTGTTATTCTGCTGGAGAGTTCAAATCAATCTGTGATGAAATTCACTCAACTCAAGGAAATTCTGTGGATAATGAGGAATGCAATCCATTTGAGTTTTTCAATCCATTCTTTCTGTCAACCTCTCAAGCCTTTCTACCCTTGGCATCTCTCTGTCTATAGTTGTCATAAAGACTTAGAAAATGGCAGATTTCCTCACAGTATTAAAGTCTAACAAATGTTAGCCTGAAATGTTTGGTTTAATGAATGTTTTAATTAAGTGATTTTTGAAGTTATATTGATGAAATTCGAATAGAGAGACCATTTCTTGGAGAAAAGTGGGTTGCTGAGGCAACAGAGGGGTGTAATGGAGTTTCTTTGATTTCATTGATTAAAAGAATAGAATACCAACATTGTTTAAATCTTGCAGTTCTTTTTCTAATGAACACCCAAATGAAACCAGACCAGCATGTTGCATGTTCTCTCCCAGTCCACTTGCAGTTCTTTCAAGTGACATCTTATGGTCTCTACTTCCAAGTGGAGAGCCCTCCACTGCTCACCCAGAAGCTCCAGGATGTGCAGACCTCACAGGCTCCTCCACCTGTGTTAATTTAGACCAAAGGTGGCTTTCTGGGAATCCTGGAGGTGTGAATCTGCAGGGGTTCTCTCCCCATCTCTAATTTTCTTAAGGCTGTTTTCCATTTTCACTTCCACTGCTTCCTGTTGGACGTGTGCAGCTTGGCAAGATGAGGAACAGAAATGGCAGATCCATCCCCTCTGCAAAGTTCATGGTAGGTTTTCCTGAAGTTTTTGATGGTTTGAGTTGGCTTTTCTTGTTCTGTACCAGTTCTTCCACCATCTGTGCAATTCCCATTAATAGTTGTGAGTGATTTGTGTGTCTAATTCTTCATGCAGAGTGTTGAAAATCTACCCTAAAGCTATGAAAAAATAATGGGAAAAGCATGTATAATTGAAAATAGTCTTAATCACTGGAATGTTGAAATCCACATGGCTTGGACGACTTGAAAGTTTTCTTGTTTTAGAAAAGCTGAATTGAACAGTGCTGTCATTTTCTTTAAATACATTCTTTTGAATAAAATATCAATTCCTGGTGCCAGCAGCAAGTTTCTAAACATGTTCAAGATGACATGATTGATAACAAGAATGCTCTCCTCAAGATGTTTCTGATTTCTTCTCTGTATCAGGAATGCTAAACTTCCAACGTCATATAATAACAAATATTAAAACCAAAGATTAGGGGGTTTTTTTGAGCTGAATGGTAACTGGAACTGAATGGAAATCTGAACTCAAGTTCCTGGCTCCAGAATGTGGGTACATTCTAGAAACTGCTTCTTGAGCACAAATCATTTCTTTCTCAATACTGCAGTGGTAGGCACATTTCCAACTTAAATGAATTGACTGTCTTCATTTAAGGGAGGGTCTTTCCAGTTTGACTGTAAAAGCATATAATTTCAGGTCTTAATGGATTTATTACATTTATATTGATATAATAGTCCATGTGTTCTTCACCAGATCTGAGGAAGATACTTTTCTTTTGCTCATGTGCTGATCAAATCTAGCTGCTATCAAGGAACTAGAATTAAATAGTAATAAATATTCTGTCTCTAACTCCAAACCTCAAAATTAAATAAGAAATGTTGGCTTTCATGGCTTCTTGGTAAGTCTGTACCCCAGATCTTTCAGTTTTTGAAACCTTTAATGGCACATCTGTCAAGGAAAGAAGCAATGTGGACACAGCCTGTGGAGACAAAGGGTGGCCTAAACCATCCCAGCCCAGTTTTGGGAACCAGCCTAAGGACTCTTATTTTGTGATTTGGAGTCGGAATCCTCTTGAAGCGTGAAAAGGTGATTTGAACTTTCCGTAAAAGACCTGAATTCCTCAATTAGATCAACTCCCAGTTGTTCTTGTCTGCTCCCATTAAAGACTTGTGCTTTTTTTTTTTTTTTATTTTTTCCATCTAAAAAAGGTGATCTCTCAGAGGGTTGAGGCAGACACACACGTTTGAAGGTCAATGCCATTTCTCATCTGGTGCTCTCCAGCTGGCAATCTCCACCTGTACATCCCTGAATTAACATTGTGGCTTTAAAACAATTAAATTTCAGGAACAATATGTGCCTGATTAACAGTAGTGGAACTTGGTGTGGGAAAGGACAATCTTCCCAATTTTAATTTAAAATGTGTCAAACTACATGACATGGTATTATATTACTGTATATCAATGCCAGACAATGACATTATTGTAAATAGTATTAACTGGCTGGCTTTGGGAAAACCAAGCAAAATTTACAGTTGTTGAATCAAACTATAGCTCAGGTTCCTGCTTCAAATTATAGTCTAGTCAGAAAACATGGCAAAATAAGAAGAGTGAAATGCTCATTAGTTTGAGATAAAACGGAAGCGATTCCCTGGATATTTAACAAGTCGCAGTTTGGGTCATACTCTGAAATCATCCTACTGGTATCTCACAGAAGACTTTCTGTGGAGCTCTCTAGAGCTTTTCACTGATTTCAGGGAGAGGAAAAAAGCCTTTTGGGTCCATCAGAAACCAAATTCCTTGCAACCTTTCAATTCAGTCAAAAGATATCTCCAGGGGGCAGAAGGTGCTAAGCAGGATCACTGACCTCTCTGTGGATGTCACACACAGAACTAGAGGGAGGAACAGGGCAGTTCCTGCTCTGATGTTTAGAAGCAGGGCCAAGTGTGGTATTTATGATTCAGAGTCTGGGCTGTACATGGAATCAGGCTCCAGCCTGCTGAAGGGAATCTGCTGAGCCCAGGTTTCTTCAGAAACATGTATTTCAAAAAGCAACATGTTTTTCAGTCCTCCTTTCCAGCTGTTGAGAGTCAACCCTCTTAAAATTCCTGCTAGTAAAGCCCATAAAAAAATGTAAATTATGATAAAAAAACCCCCAAAAAAACCAAACAAAAAAACCCCAAGGTCCTCTTCTGAAAGAAAAAAAATTCTCTTGTAAGTCCCTCCTTCAAAATGCATCTTAACTTCCTGCAGTGGATCTCCTGTCCATCTTGCAGCCATTACTCTTGGACTTTTCACCTCAAGCAGTTCCTCCCTGTTCTTGTTTTGCTGTTGTATTTACATTCCCCTGCTGTATCTCCTCTGTGCAGGATCATTTTCCACTACCCACTCCTTCAAGTGTGATGCCTCACCCCCTCAGCTGGTGTCAATTAGATTAACTCTCCTCTGGCTGGGAGTGAAGCAGTGAGGCTGCCACTGATTTACACCAGCTCAGGATCTATCCTGGTGCTTTTAATCTTTGTTCCAGCCCCTCTCCAATAATCAATGGCATGTCTGGACTGTACTGAGCTTTGGGCTGAGCTCCAGCCTCAGGAGAAATTCTGCTCTTGGTTATATTGATTGAATTTAGTTTGAAGTGAGAGTCCCATGTGAGTACCTGGGGCACAGCCTGGGCTTCCCTCACCTGAATACAAAGAGGTCCTAAAAGAATGGTCCTGAAAAGAGATGTATATCTGTGTGTCCCTTTGAGGTCCTGGCTCTCAGGAGTGTTCATTACCATCCCCTTCGGATCCATGTAGCCAAGCAGAGAATTACTAAGAAGCAGATAAATAAAATGAAAGATGGATTCACAAAGCGAAGTCAGTTGAGAGTTAACTGGGTTTTAATTACTGCCAGATTGCATCTAGTTTTCAAATGCTTTCTGGAGGAGGGTGCTCAGATTTCCCATCTCCAGCTGGGTTTGGGTTTCCAAATCTCTGTCAAACTCAGCCCGTTTCCGTGGTAACAATCTCACTCTCCCACCTATGGATAAGGACAATTACTTCTTGCTGCTGAGCAGAGATGGTGGAGCCAAAAGAGAAGGAATAAGGTGAGTCTGCACAGAGCCCTGCACTCAAAACCCACGGTGGGGTCTCAGTGGGTTGTGTAAGGGTGACACAGTTAGGTAAGGACAGCGAGAAGGTGTTGTAGCCAGCCCTGCTTTCCTCGTCACTTGATGTTTTTGCTCCATCTGAATGCAGTTTTACATTAACAGTTGCAATGACGAATGAAAAGTGTGTCTTACGTATGTGGATGCTTGGGAAGTTTGGGCTTTTTTTTTAATCTTCTCAAGGCATTTTCCTTTCCCATTTGATTGAGTTTGACTATTCCCTAAATCTGTATCCAGTCACTTGTTGGACTGAGGTTAGTGGCCAAGTTCAAGAACTTTGAGACCAAAATCATAATTTAGAACTAATATTCTGTCATTTATTTCTTCTTCATTGTTCTAAAAATCTAAGATTTCCTCAAGGTTTTCAGAGTCATCCCTTGAGATTTTTCCATATTACTGCTTTAGACTGTAGACAAATTTGAGGCCACTGGAATCTGTCCATCTTGGTAGAAATTATTATTTTATTTCTTCTGTATTTCAAAAGAACTTTTTTCTGTCAAGCCCTTTTTTATTTCCCCTGCTGTAGTCGTGCTTTAGTGGATGTGTTTGTGCTGTATGGTGATATATATGATACACCTTGAGTTTCAGTGAATAGCTTTTTACCAGATTCCATCCCCTTAGACACCCTCCTTCCTTGGTTTACATTCTGTGATGGAGCTGACACTTCCATTATAATTTTTGGCAAATACTAATAGACTGTTCAAACACGAGGAAGCCTAAAAACTGATTCTCTCCTTCCTTGTCCCAGTTATTCATCAACAAAACGGTTTGCTTATTCACTGCATTGATTTTCTATGGCATTTTAAAACCTAGGACCACAGTAACTATTTGTGATCCTGTTACAGATACTGCATCAATTATTTCCTGGAATTGCTTCCCACACCTTTCTTCAGCTGTTCTGTGTGGCTGAGCTGAGGTTGAAGGGGAGCTGTCCCCTGTGGGTCCCCCAGCTGGGGATCGGCCGTTCCTCCCAGTGGCTGTTCCTGAGAGCTTGACTCGAGGCCCCTGCACTGGTGATGGATTTGTCAGCATTTCCAGTGCTCACTTCAGTCTCTGCTCAGGAGAACATTCAGCTGCACATGAACCCAAGGAGAGTCGTTAGTGAGGGTGGTCGGTGGAGCTTGGACCTTCAAAGGTCAGCCTTAAAACTTGCAGCTGCTTTTCTTCTGAGGCCATCTAAGTGTTGTGTCTGTAGATTGAGACAACCTGTAATCCAAAGAACCATGGGGAGAGGAAACAGGAGGCTAATGATACCTCTAGTGAACATATAATGTTTACTCTGACTTTTATAAAGAGGGAATTTGCGAGGCTGGAGATAATCCCACTATAGTTTGTAATTTAAGTGTCACTCAGAATGTGTGCTGACATGCAACTGATTAGCAGCAAACTTTGGTGGCAAATTAATTAGTATTTAATCCAGAGGCTCTATTAAGATGTGATGTGATAAAAATACTTTTTTTCTTAGTACTCATTCAATTAAAATGCACAAATGATCTCGACCATCTTCTGAGTTTCACATATTTTGCCTAAATGCCTAATAACCATGTCTCACTTCTCTAAAAGTTGGCACATACACAACAGACTCCCAAGATACAGCTTGGATTAATGTGAAGTGCTTCTGATAAAAGAGCAATTGTACATCTTTTAAAGAATAAATAATGCCAATAAATATGGCTTAGATGAGTGTTATTTTAGTATCTTTTGTATACAGTTTGTATTCCTTCCTCTTCCCTCCTTTTGCTAAGTGCACTGTGTAGTTTTGAGGCTATCATTTATCTTTCAACACCTCTTTGTTTCTTTTCTGAAATCGATGGCTTTAAAGAATGTGACTTAAAAAAAAGGGTTGTGCTCCTGGATGGAATTCTGTGTAAATAATTTATCTTCTTGCAGTGGTTTTCTGCTCTTTCCTCAATATTCTTCCATCTACTTCTTTCTTATTGGAGCCCATAATGATATTCTCTGCTGCAGATAAGAGTTATTCTGCTGCAAGTTCTCTCTTAGAGCAGTTGTGCCTTTCTGGTGAGAATATTAATGCAGAGTTCTTGTGACAGTGACCACTATTCAACAAAAAAGGACTCAGAATTTATTTGGTGGAGGAGATGACCCACAGACTGCAGGTGATAGAGCTGTATTGTATTAAATTCTATCAGAGCCTTTCTTTAAATTATTCAAGGATCTATTTGTGACTCTCTTTTTTTTTTTTTTTATTTATTCAGTGGAACCCCATGTTTTAATGTCCACAATCAGATGTGTGTATGTTTTCTTACCAGCTAGATTTGAAAAAACTGTGCTCTTCCCTTCCAGTTTTTCCCCAGCAGTTTCCTTCTCTCCTAGGAAGGCTTCAAAAATCTCACCTTTGGTCAGGACTTCCTGTTCAGGTCAGTGATATTCTTCAGAAACCTTTACTTACATGTCAAAACCCACTGTCCACAATGATCATAAGTGAACTGATCTCAAACCAGGAAAAGTGCCACTCATTTGGGCTGCACCCAAATTACGGATCTTTGTAAATTATGCCTTGAGATGAAATGAAGGTGGTTGGGTTTTTCATACCTGCTGATGTACCACAGGGTGTTCACCTGTAGTAGACAGGATTCTCCAATGCTGGAAATAGAAATCTCAGTAGTGGAACTGAAAAATTGCTCATGCAGACTCCTTTTGTGTCACATGTTCATGGACAGAGAGGTCTCTCCTGTCTCATTGTTTCCCAGAGCATGTGTCAAAATGGAATGAGGGACCTTAAATTACAGAACTGTTGTTTTGGACAGACCTACCTGTTGTGTTTGCTGGGTGTATTATCATTACTTGCCATCATCATCACTGCAGCTGTAATGCCCTTGTGAGATCAGAAGCTGCTCTGAGATTTGGTTTATTTAGTAATTTTAACTTTATAAATGGACTTAAGTCTACCCCCATGACATAAATCTCATCTCTTTGAAAATCTAATACTGGGCTGAGGCCGTACCCTTGAATGGTGTAAATCAAGAGGAGTTCACTTATGACCAAATTAGCACACAGACTGAGAATATATCTGCAAATGTTCCCAAAAGTGCTGAGCAGTGGCCCTGCAGTCACGTGTAAGAAATGGAAGATGCTCACATAATCACCTTGTTCCAGCTCTGCTTGCCATTTAAATAGCAGTTGCTGTGTTGCTCTTCTGTATATTTTAGTTTCTCTCTTTGCAGCATTTCCCAGATACTGCAAACTTTCTTCTCAGCCTTTCTGGCTCCCTTTCAGCACTGAAACTCAGCCTTGCTGTTGCTAAATGTCAGTGCTGCAAACCACCCACGCCAGGACTCCACACCTCCCTCCCTCTGTCTGTCTCCTTTCTCCATGTGGCAAATGACAAGTTTTCCGGAAAAGCACAGCAGGTTCTTGCACTCTTGTGTGCCTCAGTGATCTTCCAGGACCTCCTGATATTGAATGCAGGTGATATTTCCCTAGAACACCCTCTTCATCCCATTTCCAATATAAAATAAGCCGGGGCATCGACATCATCTAACAAAACATTGTTCCTGTCAGGCTTTTAACCTTGGTTCTTGACATAACTAAGGCAAAACCTTGCCCTGGAGTCAGGGAGCATTTTCCACTAAAGGACCTGAACTCTCTGTGAGGTTTCATTCCCATATGAGTTGTGTGTTTTAGCACATGTATTTAATGTGGAACCCTACATCCTCATTCTTAGTGGGGAAAAAGTGTCCTCAACCTTTATTTTAAACTCTATCCCCATACCTTTTTTTTACATCCTCCTGCTTTTTCCCATGCTGCTTTCTGCCTGTGTGCAGCCTTTTGATGAGCTTCCAGCAAAAAGCAGTGTTGTTAGATAGGAATGTCTGCTTTGCTGGATTGGAGCATGTCTTGGCTGGGCTGGAGTGGAGGGAACACCCTCATTGCTGAGGTGCTGTGTTCAGCAGAGTCCCTCACCTCTGCATGGCAGGACAGCATCCTTGGGGGTCCCCACACCCTTCCCTGATGGCTCAGGGCCAGATCTGCCCTTCTGCAGAGGAGGAATTCAATATTCTAAGGGAGAAATGGTGAAGCTCCTGTTGTCTCACTGTCCCACTTTGTAGTGGAGCTGCAGGAGGGACCAGCCTGGAATGGAAGTGGTCTGGATTCAGAGCCAGAATCACTGCAGGGCCCTGAGCAAAGCTGGAAAACAACTTTGGGATTTGAAGGAGACTTGCAACTGGTCTGTTTTGCATAGAATCACAGACTGGTTTGGGTTGGAAGGACCTTAAAACTCATCTACCAACCTGGCCTTGGACACTTCCAGGGATGGGGCAGCCACAGCTTCTCTGGGCAGCCTGTGCCAGGGCCTGCCCACCCTCACAGGGAACAATTTCTTCCCAGTATCCCACCTACCCCTGCCCTCTGTCAGTGGGAAGCCATTCCCCCTGTCCTGTCACTCCATCCCTTGTCAATGGTCTCTCTCCATCTTTCTCGCAGGCCCCTTCAGGCTCTGCAAGGCCACAGTCAGGTCACCCCAAAGCCTCTCTTCTCCAGGCTGAACAATCCCAACTCTCTCAGCCTCTCTTAGAGTTCCATCCTCTGATCAACTTGGTGCCTCCTCATGGACATCTTTTCGTGATGCTTCTGAAGAGATTCCAGCAGTGTCTGAACTCACCAGTAAACGCTGGCACGGACAGAGCTGAGCCCCAGCTTTGACTGCAGTATTGACACCCCAATTCTGCACCTCCATTTTTAGGAAGCAGTTGTTTTGCAGCCACTGGGTGTGATTGAAATCAGAGTTTAATATCCTTAATAATCAGGTTACCCAGTAGCTTTCTGTAATGTAGCATTGGAGGCATGAGGTAATGAAGGATCTGATGATCAAATGTCCTGGAAAAATGTAACGTTGACCTCGATTTTCCAGTGGGCAAAGAGAGAATTATAAAGTAGTTCCATTTGCTTCAGTTTTACTGCACTTACATGCATAACCTGTTATATTGATTATCCCAACAGCTTGCATTTGTATTGCAGGAAATCTGCAATAATGCTGGTCAGAAATCTCATACCAACTTGATGATTTTTCTTCTTTCTCAGATGTACTGCACTGAGCAGATATTCAGAATTTGTCTGATTATGTAATGTAGACATTTTCTGTCCTGGGGAAATTTCAAAGCCGTTATTTTATAAGTCCCCCCTTTGATAGAACTGTGCTGTTTGCTTAAACACTTTATGGAGTCATTCCTTTCATGAAACAAAGAAATGCCTTGATCAGATATTCAGACTTCAGATTTCAGCCCCATTCCCAGGCATGTGAGCAGAAGGCAATGCCATTTCTGCAGGTAAGGTTACAGCATTGTCAGAGCCTGAGTTATAAAAGGATTGCCACGGAGTTGATCAGATACCTGTCTGACTTTGCTGACAGATTGAGTCAAGTATCTTTTCACTTGCAGATTGATTGGAGTGCAAGATTAATTTAGTGTCTTCCAAACCACTTTCCTACAAATCCTTTTATTTTACCCTCTGGTTGCCCTGAAAAAGCCCTGGTGTGTTTTTAATATGATGCATAATAGAACAGTGAACTTGGGTGACTTCTGACAGTGTTGGTCCAAAGCACATATTAAAATGTGATCAAGAGACATAGGGAAGAAAATATGCTTTACTGATAGGAGCCAAGGTTAGAGGAAAACCACTGTCCTGTATTTCTATTTGTGTTTCCACAGCTGTAATACTATTTAAGGGTCTTTTTAGGCTTTGGACAAGAAAGGGGAGCAGCTGCCAAAGGGTGTCTGTGAGTAAGCCCTAAAGTTATTCAAACAGCATTGCTAAAGTAAAACAGAGGTCTGTTCTTTGGGGCTGCACCTGAAATACTTGAAGAAATGGGTTTGTGCTCAGCCTGCTGCAGGATCAGGGCACAGGGTACAAGGCTGGGGCTTCCACACGAGCAGGAGGTGCCTTGTCTTGTGTGAGGTGTTGACACTGGGGATGGAAATAACTCCCAGTAAGGTTGTACCTTCCAACTGCTGATGTGCTGAACACCAATATCTGGAATAAGTAATTGTGTTTTTCCACTGGCTTGAATACCTTGAAATTTGTAAGATGATGTTCACTTATTTCAGGATCTTCAATTACCTGAACTGCTACAAGGTTCTTTATACCTACTTTTTTCCTGCAGTACTGGTAAATATTATCTTCATTTCCCATAGTGAACAAGATTTTTTGGTTGTAAGGAATTTGTTCCAGTATATGAAATTATTGTTTTTGCAAGACAAGGAGTAAAGGCATTTTGTTTGGAATTTTTTATAGCTTTTGCATGCTACAGTTCTCTAATCTGCCTCAATTGTTTGAGTTTTTTAATTGTTTCTGCTAACACTTATGTCCTGTACAACCTCTATGAGGAAAGGAGCTATTTTAAGAAAATACATAAAAGCTGGCAATTACATTGTCTTATCAAGTTTTGGCAGCCTATTAAGTTGTTCAGTGGTACTGGAGATGATTAGACTCAAAACTGTAGGAATGAGAGTGTAAAACAGGAACCTGGCCTTTTAAAGCACCTGCTGAATGGGTTTCAAAGACACTGGCAAGGAGAAGTATGTTCAGGGTGGAATTAAAACTGTCCACAGGTTTTAATAAAAGCAAGGATGCATTAAATCCTCCTGGTCATGGAAGGTAAACACTTCTGGTTGTGAAAGGTGAGGGGAAGGCTGGGTACACCTCCTGGTTATTTTGGGAGGCTCCTGGGGAATGCTCTGGTAAAATGATGACTCAGCTTCAGCGATCTAATTTCTCCTTCACCTCTCATCTTTTAGCTGACCTAGAGAGGATTAGTCCAGCTGTTTATCACTGAAGGATTTTGTGGGGCCATGCTGACTTGTAAGGTGTAAGTGGAAAATTAAAGAAATTAAAATATTTTTTCAAACCTGTAAAACTTGAAAAAACCAGTTCTTTCAGCCAGAAAAATCCCGAGTGAAGCCCTGGAGGGTTTACCATGAAAAGAAATGATTGGGTCGCAGAAGAGACATGAAATAAGCAGACACATAAAAAGTGTGAAAATATGAAGCAAAGAGATCGATTATGTGTATTATTAGACCAAAAAATGCTGCATTATCCATACTTTTGGCAGTAGTGGGAGACAGGAGAGGTGGCAGGGCTGTGGGACTGATGTAACTTCCTTTGGCTTTCCAGGTTCAGCAGTGCCTGAATGGCTGGGAGCTTTTCACCTGCACAGTTCCTGACTTTATTATACCTCCTCCTTATTTATTCTCTCTCTTTTTCCAGATTAGATGCATCATTTCTGCCAGAGGAATTGTGCTGGACAATGCTGAGGTTCTGTGTGGAAGGCAGGATTTCTACAGGAGGTGTTCAGGACGCTGAGGAGCTCAGCTCAACGTGCTGGTCCTGTCCCACTTCAGGCTTCTGCCTGCAGAGGAAAAACTACATTTTCTGATGTTCTGATGGCAAAATAAACTACTCAGGAACTTGGAGACGTGTTGGACAGCTGCTGGAACTGAGCCCAGAGTGAGGGTGGAGCAGGCTGTGTGTGCTCTCTGAGTAGCTGCTATGTTGCAAGAGTCCAAAAATTATACAAAAGCTGGATGTTGGTTTTAGCTGGAAATTTTCTTTGCCTAAATTAGTCTTTCCAGATGCTACAGAATAATTCAGTAAAGTTAAATAATGTACAGAAAGAAGGGATGCTTCTGAAAGAACTTTGCAGTGGATTAGTTTCAAATGTGTGTGTATAAACATACATACACACACACACACACACACATATATATATATGTGTGTTTATATAAACCTAACCAGATATTTGCAGGCTCTTTCAGAGTTAAGGATTCTAGAGTTTTCTTGGAGAAATCCTCATTATGGTTAATTATTGTCAAGACCTTGATCTGGAGAGATAAATAGATACATAGATGTATATTTGTGCAACATGTGATTTTGCTTAGTCTATAAGAACTTATTTCTGAACATCCGTGTTTGAACTTACAAAAACAGTCTTGCTCTTCCTTTTTAAATAGTCACCAGCTGTGTTATTTTCTTTCATTCGTTCAGCTAATTTTCCCCATATTTAAATAGCTTGAGAGCTTTGTTAAGGCTTCATTCTGTTCAAAACTCAAATTAAAATGCTGATTTCTGCAGTGTCTGCAGTGTCTGGCATTTCTGACTAGCACTTTAGTGACTGGCTCTGATCTTTTTATTAAGGGGTTTACATGACAGTTGCAATTTAGAGGGAAAATAAAAATAAGCAAACAGCCTTTTCCCCCACCGTGGCTGTTTATACACAAAGTGGTTGTTTGCCTCGTGTTCCTGATGTAGTCACAGGCTTTTCCTTTGTGGGGCATTGAGTTTTACTTAGAATATATTTAAAGAGAAATAGTTCTCAGGGGTTTTTCGCTGTGCTGGATGCTTGTGTTTTCACAAACGGAATGTGATGACTCCAAACAACTGCTTTTCCCAGCCAAGCTGCTTGAGGAGATGCAGGTAGACATGTCCATTTTGAATTCCCTTCCTCAGATTTCACTGGCCATCCAACAGCCAGGAAGGTATATGAGCTTGTGAAGTGTGGGAAAGCAGCTCCCTTTGAAGGCAAAAGGTCCAGTGCAGGTTATTTTCTTTGACTCCAATAAGATTTGACTAAGACCCAGAGAGGCTGGGATACAGCAAGGAAAGATCTATCTTTGTTCAGAGTGTAGTCTGAACTCCTGACCCAAGACATTTGCTACAAGGGATTCTGGGGCAGTCCTGAGGATTTCATAAGCAGTGTTGTTGCTCCTGTCTCTCCCAGATGTCTGGTAAATCAGGATGGATGCTTTACTCAGTTTGGAGAAAATGAAGTGCTAACACAGAGTGCAGGAAGAGAAGATTTATTTAAAGCACTTGTCCCTCTTTGGAAGACAAAGCAGTAGATTTAAGTTAGGACTGCCAATAGGGATCATGTTGAAGATAAGCAACACTGAAACCAGCACTGTCAGCCTTTTCAGACTCGTCCTTGGGTTCATCTGAAGAGGTGGGAGAGTGGACAAATGGCTCCAAGATCCTTGCCTCGTTTCAGTGTTCCAATCCTGTGGATTTCTCCATGGAAGGAACTTACAGATAACCTCACCCTGCTTAGGTGTCAGAAGGTTATGGCCATTTCTGTGAACACATCTCTGGGGTGGTTCCTTGTAATGCTGATCCCCCTTTTATCTGTGCAAACCTTTGCCAACCTTCAGCTCTGTGTGCTGAGGTTTGTGCTGAAGGGAAGGGCACTCCTGTCCCCTTGCTGGAGGGAGCAGGGCACAGGGATGGAGGGAGGATGCCTGACTTGAGCTGGGCAAGTCCCAGGTGTTTCTGTCTGTGCCTGCAGGATCTGTAAACATCAACCCTTGTAAAATGATTGGAAGGAGACAAGCAGTCTTACACAGAAGCCAAGAAAGAAGGTCTGTGTTATCAAGCCAAGATTTAGTCCCTCATATTAGATTTTGATATATGAGAAACCAATGGAATAACTTGAAATGTCTAAAATGACACTATGAAACTGTAAATACTTTCAACCATCTCATTGTTCAGCCTGGAGAAGAGAAGGTTTTGGGGTGATCTAAGTGTGGCCTTGCAGAGCCTGAAGGGAGACTAAAAAAAGATGGGGAAAGACTGTTGACAAGGGATGGAGTGACAGGACACAGGGAATGGCTTCCCACTGACAGAGGGCAGGGTTAGATGGGATATTGGGAAGAAATTGTTCCCTGTGAGGGTGGGGAGGCCCTGGCACAGGTTGCCCAGAGAAGCTGTGGCTGCCCCTGGATCCCTGGAAGTGTCCAAGGCCAGGTTGGAGGGGGCTTGGAGCAGCCTGGGCTGGTGGAAGGTGTCCCTGCCCATGGCAGGGGGTGGCACTGGATGAGCTTTAGGGTCCCCTCCAGCTAAAGCCATTCTGTGATTTTCAGGTACACCCTTCCCAGCCCTCCATCCCTGTTAACCTCCACTTTTCCAAGCTCCTTCCTACCTCTTAACCTCCTTTTTTCCCACCTGCCAGTTGCTCAGCTCTTCCCCTTCCCCACTTTATTCACAGCCATTCAGTTCTTTTTGCCTTTGGCATTCCCTTTTTCTTTCCTCAGAAACCCACTGGAAATAGATATTCAGGGCTGCAGTGATTTGGGAAGGCCTTTTAATTGGTGAAATATGAGTTATCAACACCCCTGCAAGATCTTTGTCCAGTTCCTCTGATGAAACATGGCTCATGGCCTCTTAATATGCAGGATATGCTGCAGATCCCACAGAAGGAGGGTTTACCATTGTCCATTTCTGGGGTTCCTGATGTTGCCTTGAAAGAATAACTGATGCTGTCAGTCCCTAAGTGTTTGCCATGCTGTTAGGAGGGATGCCAACCGAGACACAGCTGAGATTCCCCACCTTTTTTAAACCTATTTGCTCTGTCTGGGTGTTGGCCATGACTGTTCTCCTCACTGTGTGATGTTTGTTATATGTCTTAAAAAGTAATAAAGGTTTAAATTTCACTACATCAAACCTTTCTGAGTTGATCCTTGAAGGAGAATGAGGGAGTAAAGACAGAAAAAGAGCAGGATGTGTAGCAATATAATGACAAGTCAACACTGTAAGCAAATTAAGAATCTTTTTTCCTGTTCTCAGTGTTTATACCTTTTGCTACTGAGACTGTACAAAGAAGAGACTTCTAGAACACAATCAGTTGACTCTGTGATATGAAGTGATGCTGTCATAGAAGCTGATCTGATCAATCACAGGTCTTACAATACATTTACAATGACATTTGTTTGAACTGATGGAAGGCAGAAACAAGAGTGTCTGTACATCTGTGATTCCATTTAAAGCTTTTATATGTCACTGCTCTTTTTATGACCTGCCTTTACTAGGAAGAGAGGGACTAAAGGCAAGAAGAGAAACTGCTTTGCATTTGCATTTTGACTGTGATCAGGCTTGATTGGCCCCTGAATCACATGGAGGACACACTTCTTATTTCTGTACACTTTTTAATTTCAAATTTTTATGAGAAAAGAAGTTCTAGGAGTCAAATATACCAAGCCTATCCAGGAGACAGCACAACACCTTACTTTGTTCATAACACCACCACAGAAAGATTATCCATTTTCCAGGCACCTCTGATAAAAAATTATAATTTAGTTTGCAGTTTTGATAGCACCTGAAGGAAAGATTGGAACAAATACGCTCATACTACCTCTATTTCCTTGCTGAGATCCATCAGTTCATTATGTCAAGGTCAAAGCTAAACATTTTAAACTCTTTGTATTTTACAAAATGGAAAATGTCAGAAAATGTCAGGATTAGGAACAGTGTTGACAGAATCAATGCTCCAAAGCATCATTTATGGGAGCAGCAGAACACAGAAATGCTGAGAATTCTTCTCTGGGCTCCTCAGAGAAGAAAAGTGTTCCTGCCCAGCAGAGCACTGGGCACTTCTATTCACGCCAGACAGGCTTTTGTGGCACCTCAGTTTGCTCCCGACAGATAAATGCCCCTGAGTTGGACTTGTTTTGATTTCTGCCTTTCTCCAGTACATTCCTCCTTTCCTGTGTTAGTAGTTAGAGATCAATTTAAACAACCTCCTGCCCTCTGCCCTTATTTTCTCTCAGAACTCCAGACAGTCTGGAAGGCTTTTCCCCGGAATGCAGTGGTTCTGTAAAGGGTGGAACCTTTGCCCGTGTGTCCTTTTGCCTTGGAGTGTTGCTGCAATGAAAAGAGAAAAGTCACATATTTTGGGGAGGATGTTTTGCTTATTGTGTGCTTTCAGCTCCTTAATTGAATTAACTAAGTTTTCAGTGTATGTTTTTTCTGAAAAGCAGTGAACTGAGTTCAGTACAAGTCTCCAGTAAACAAAAAAAGCAAATAGAAGAATAACTGTTATTTCATGCCATTAAGTACTTAAGCACATACTTAATTTTATTTGGCATTGCAGTGACACCTCAGCAATTTTTAAAATATCTTTCTCAATCAGTTAAATAAGGTAATAAATTGCAAACAGAGAAGACAGAGGCAGACCAGCATTTTAAACAGCAGACCTCATCCCTTGCCAGTCTCTCTACCACCAAACCTGCAAAACAAACACACAGTAAAGCAGATGTCTGAATTCTGAGCAAAATATTTTAAAACAGAACTGTCTGGCTGAAAACTGGGAAGGTGGCATTGATCCCAGGAGATTATTTTTTTTTGGTAGTGGGTTTTTTTTTCCTCTTTAGAAATTCATCTGATTTAATCTTAATTGATTTACTGAAGTTCAACTATTCATTGAACTTTCTCACAGCCACAATGTAGGACCTTGACTCCCAATAGTGGAGGAGTTAAACATTTTTTAGCCTCTGTTTTACCAAGCTGAGGTTTTTGTTTAGAAGTATCTGCAGGAATACTTGTCGGATTTTTTTAGGCAAGGGACAATTATTGTCAACTCTGCTATCAGCAGCTCTCCCATAGACCTGGATATTGATCTCCTTCCCGGTTCCACCTGCTGATTGCAGTGCTCCCACCTGAATCCTGCTTTTCCCTTGCCCTCCCTGGCTGAGCCTGTCCTGCCCCACAGCCAGCCCTGCCATCCCAACCCTGCGGGGAGCACGAGCAGCGCTGGACTCCAAATGGGATTTAAGGTGTAAGCTCGGGGATGACACTGGGCTCGTGGGCTTTGTGAGAAGCACATTTTGGGAGCTGTGTGTGAATCCCCAGCTCGGGAATTGCCCTTTATTCCGGATGGAATTTGGTCTGGAGCCATTAATGCGATCCAGGGAAATGAGGATAAAAGGAGAGGCTGCTCTTGCTGACAGGAGAGCGCCTCCATCTACATTTCCTTTTTTTCTGTGAGCTGCTGCTGCCAAGCCCATCACTTCAAAGTGCTTTCTGCCCTGGTAAGCCATAATTCTGTGTGTTGGGCTCCATTTCCTGCACTTCCACCTGCTCCTTTGCTCCTGCTCTTTGTTTTATTCTTTTATCTGCCTATATATATATATATATCTTTGTTTTGCCCCCAGCAGATTTTTATTCTTGGTGAGTTTTTAAATCTCTCTTTGTGGCTTTATTGTTGTCCTGTTTTTTAATGAATTCATTAACATTTTTTTAATATATAAGACAGTTTTTACCTTCACAAGAGACACAATTCATTCCCTAAGAGATTCTTCCACAT